ATAATACCTTTATTGATGATTGATTTTAAGCTCCTCCCCCTACACGGGCTGGGACCAAGCTACGTTGCTAACTCCCTTGAGATCATCTGCTGCTGGTTTACCAGAGGTTCTCAGCAACAGCCGGAAGGAGATCAGAGATGCAGCCTTTGTCAGTTACAAAGCTATGGAACACACTACCTATAGATATCAGGAAATATTTTTAATACTTTCAATATTTTTAAAAGAAAGCTAAAAACGTATCTGTTCACTTCAGCTAGCTCTGACTTTCCTGGTACAGGTCTGAAACTCTTTCTTTTTACACTTCATATTGCCACAACTCTTTTATTATGTTGTGTACTACTTGATTTCATTATTTATGGTTTTGTAATTCTATGATTTTATGATGTCATTATTTATGACTTTTTGATATTTATTTCACCTAATCTTTTTTTTAGATTTTAAGTCTGTTTTATGTTCATTATGTCTATTTTCATGTGAAGCACTTGGTGCTTAAAATGTCCTTATTGTAACACTTTCTTGCTGCATTTCTTGTATGAAAGGTGCTATATAAATAAAGTTTACTGTTATTATTACTAAAACATGTGTTATTATCATTATCAATATGATTATTGTTCATATAGTACTGTTTATATAGTCAAAGTGGGATCCAGTGGTGGAAAGGAACTCAACAAATTTATTAAAAGTTTAGAGAGAGCTTCCTTGTATACAAAAAAATGTAAACAAATAAAGACAATGTTTACAGGCTGTGTTTTTCCCCAGAACACAATGTGTGTGTTCTTTGAGGTCAAACAAATGTGTTGAATGCATTCCTTTCAAAATATAACATTTGTAATGCAAAAATTTACTATATTTTCAAGGCAGATGCTATTAGCTCTCAGGTGTCTGCAGCCAGCAATGCTGTTTGTAGCCAGGGTGTAAGTAGGCAGTGTGGCTATTTACACCTGGGTGTATATACAAAGCACATACAGCAAGTAGCAGCCGTGACCCACCGTCCAACACTGGCACACCATGAGGATGGAAACAGAGGGCTCAGTGAGGATGGAGCACCTGCCGCAGCAAACAAACACGCCATCTGCAGTCATTTTGACTTGACCAACGGAGTTCACCACAGCTTGGCTGAAGAAACAGGTGACGTGATTTACGTTCTAAAACCAGCCACCGGCGATTTGACCAGCTGAGTTGCAGGTGACACTATCAAATGAGGCGAGCACAGAACGGCCAGTCCACACCGCTTTAACTTCTCTCTGCAACATTCTAAAACAGTTTCATCTTGTTGCAAATCTTTGGTCTGAACTGGGCTTAACACAAATGGGTCTATTTACCCATTCTGCTAAAGTTAATGTACACACAATAATACATCAAAGTCTAAAACCTACAAGTCAACACTGACTCACATGTTACTCAGACCCCAGTCTCTTGTGTTAAAGTCCTGTGCTAGACCCATTCAGCCAATCAATGCACACAATAGGATCCATAATAAGGAATCAAATAAATAAATAGGTGTAAACAGCTGAATAGCTGCAGTGTAATTATTCTCACATGGGTGCAAATAGACACTCCGTATTTGAACAAGGTGTGTTCACATCATGTTTGCTAGCTGTTTACATTTAAGACTGTAAAGGGAGGTGCATTGTTTGCTACACTTCTTTGCACATTACTGCCACCACCTGTTGATCAGCAGAATAGCGTAAAACAGTATACTATAGGAATATGCAATAAATGAAAGCTACTACTGTTTACATAAATCACACATGACATGTGGTGCAACATGAATGATCGACACTTTCTCAGACTTTACGTGGGCTATCTGACAATCATAGCATAATAAAGACATTAATGTTAGTTGAATACACTATGAACTGTGTTCTGCTGGAATATAGCAACCCCACTTGGACAAACCACACTCAGAACTGCAGTACACTGTTATACTACAACCAGGCTGAAATTGACATGGTGTCCCATGTGACAAGGTTGGAGTGAGAATGTGATGTTCTGTGTGAAACATTTAATGTTGATGATAATAGACTCCAAATCAAAGACAACATCACAAGTATCTTTTCAGTCTTCAGTCTCCCCTGCAATTGTATTGCAAAAATGGCCAAAAGCATTGCAACATGCACTGAAATTTTTTGGAAAAGCTCCTGTGAAAACAGACATTTCAGGCCTCAACAATCTCAAAAACAGACCATGAAATCCCTTGAGTATTGAGGTGGATGTGTCCCTCCCAGTGTATGCTTACTATATTTATGTACTGCCTTGCAGTGCTCCATAGGGCTAGTGGTGGTCAAAAACTCCTCAGGGCACCTTTCAGTATTTATGACATTGAATGTTCATGACTAAATTGACAACAATTTTGATTCAATAGTGAAAACATGGACACATATCCCTAATACAGGAATCTCTGTAGCAGAAAAGTGTGTGCTCATGTAGGACCATACGGCTCATAGCAAGTGACTGATACATTTTCAGGGCCTTTGAGCATTGAACTTAAATTTTTGTAATTACTCCAGCCTGATAGATATCATAGAATACCTTAATTAGTTTTGAATGAATTGTGAATTGTACTGCTCAGCTGCTGCTTGCTGTGGAGGTGCTGGTTCCATAAAAGGAGTGATTTCTGAAGTGGTTTGATAACATTAAATAATAGATTGTCAGTTTTTACCTTAATACAGTACTTATGTACCATGTGTACACTGGAAGGGTTATTGAATTATGTTCATAGTGACTGCAAAGAGGTCCTTTGTGATACCAAATTAAATGAAGTCCCTCTCTATGCTTCACGGGACAGTGTTTGCTTGCTGCCACGACAGACAGATAATGACACAAAGAGGGAATTTTGTAGTAAAACAACAGTAACTTTGGAAGATATCCACTTGATTTGTCTAACTTATTATTAGCTTTTGCAGAAGTTTGGAACGCAGTTTCACACAGGAGACTGTGGAATTTGTCCCCCTTGCTTTCCATTAAAATTACTTTAAGAAGTAATCTGTGGCAAGTATGAACAGGAGAAACAATTACAGTGACCAGAAACTGTTTCAATGTACATATGGGAACATCAGTATTGTTTTTAGACAGACGTGAAAAAAATGTGAACCTATCCATTAGGCCTAAAGCTGTAGTTGGTAACTTTGATAAAAGTAACTTTTTATCATAATTGCTGAAACCATAGACAGTAAAAGACAATAGCCCCCGTGACATCATCTATTGGTTTGTGGACTCCTGCTTTGATGATTCAAGTCTGGCATTTCGGCCATTGCCATCTTGGGTTTTTGGAGCCAGAAGTGGCCATATTTAGGCGAGAGGGTGGAGTTGTGGAGGAGTGAGGGGTGGATCTGACTGAGAAGCCCAGGACACTATCGTACACTACCTGTCACTCAAAGCAGCCCCGCTCTTAATTATGAAATAACTTTAAGCCTTGATGAAATGTAAACAGGTGAGTTTTATAAAAATGAACCCACCATACAGTTGTCATAGTGTTGAAATTAGTTTTAGAGCCCCAAACCAATTTTTGTACCAGGCTATACACATGTTTATTTCTGCTGCAAAGCTGGGCATTTTAACATGGGGGTTTATGGGGATTGAGTCACCTCTGGAGACAGCCTCCAGTGGCCATTAAAGGAACTGCAGTTTTTGGTACTTTTCAGTGGCACACTGTGGTACACTGTTGGCTTCATTTTTTAGTCCAGAGGTTGCCACTTCGCTGAAACTGTTACTATATCCACACAGTACATGAGTCAGATAATCGGTTAAAAAAAAAAAAATAGAAAAAAAAAAGAAAGTTTCCTCATAGTGCTTCTAATGACATTCGTAAGAATCCACCGTCACTCAATAAAACCAACCAATCAGAGCTGAGGCGTCTCTATGGCAGCCCATCATGTCAATTACGGCTTATAAATAATGGTCAGACTGTCAAAACTATGAGAAAGTTTCCTCGGTGCTGGTGGGTGGTGCTTGGTTTTGGTTCAACTGTTACCAACATGGCAGCCAGGTCACAAACTTTCTCATTTTACAGCTAAACATTCATTCATTCATTCATCTTCTAACCACTTCATCCTCTTGAGGGTCGCGGGGGGGCTGGAGCCTATCCCAGCTGACATCGGGCGAGAGGCAGGGTACACCCTGGACAGGTCGCCAGACTATCGCAGGGCTGACACATAGAGACAGACAACCATTCACGCTCACATTCACACCTATGGACAATTTAGAGTTATCAATGAACCTAGTCCCCAATCTGCATGTTTTTGGACTGTGGGAGGAAGCCGGAGTGCCCGGAGAGAACCCACGCTGACACGGGGAGAACATGCAAACTCCGCACAGAAGGGCTCCCACACCCAGGATCGAACCGGCAACCCTCTTGCTGTGAGGCGAGAGTGCTAACCACCATACCACCATGCCGCCCTACAGCTAAACAGTACACTGATATATATGTTCCTGAGAACATCTAAGAAGAGAAATAGGCAGGGCCGTGACAGAATCTTGATTCAGATTTGATTCTTGCTTCACTATGTTAGGAACCAACATCGTAGAAGAAAAAAGCAATGTTGCCATAAACGCTTGGTCGCAACAAGCCAGTTATCCCTACGGTAACTTTTCTTTCTTTCTTTCTTTCTTTCTTTCTTTCTTTCTTTCCTTCTTTCTTTTTAATTTTTTGCTTGTAAATTCTTTTTTTAAACAACCTATAAACTGCTAATGAAAAACAGTCGAATAAAAAGCACATACCCATGTATGTATATGCACAGGTACACACATATACCTACATACATACAGAAACTTGAAAAGAACAGACAGTTACACAAGATAAAGACCCAGTAAGGGCCTTTCCTATTATGATCAACTATAGGAAGATGTAAAACAATATATGACGTACCTCATGTGGAGTTATCAATAAAGTTGGGGTTTAGAGTCTACCTTTGATATATTCCATTGATGGATTCCATGTTCTCATGGGAGCCGTTTAACGTGAATCTTAGTTTTTCAAGTTTGAGATGTTGCATTACTTCCCTCAACCACTGAGTTCAGCTTGGTGGATGAGGATTCTTTCAGTGCAGAAGGATTAATCTCCATGTTAATAAAGTGACAAATTTTGTCATTTTGAGTTTAGATCCTGAGAGATCCGTATTTTTCTCTCCTGCTATTGCAAAAATAGCTGTCAAAGTATCTGGGTGAATTTTCATTTTTAAAATATCTGATAGTATTTTGAAGCCCATGGTAACTTTTCTGACACCTCCTGTTTAAAACCCAAAAAGTCAGAAGGATCTGCCCATAGAAGCACTTTGGAGGCAGAGGAATCAGATTTTTTTTGTCCCACAAATGATCTGTCTCATGTACTACTATGTGGATGTATTGACAGTTTCAGCAAATATGCCAGAAAGTTATTTTTAAGAAAAAGTTACCAACTGTGGCTTTAGCCAAGCTTTAACTACATCTAATCAGTCTGATTCAGCTCAGGTCTATCATCATCTTGCGCATTCTCTTACTGAGGAAAACATGAACCTCCTCTGAGTTCTGATGAAAAAGTAGAGACAAATGGCCCATCAGTCAGTCCTAGGAGGGAATGTATGAGAAGTATTTTACGCACAAGCAGTCAAACCATAAGCTGACATTAATCAGATTCAAGCTGATCAGCTGAACTCAACTGTCTAACATTCCTGCAGCTGTTTCTATCAATGATCAGAGAGTTATTTGAAAGAAGCACCACAACTCTGATGCCCTCTGCTCCCCCTGAACACTCCGTATCCACCATGTAACACAGACACAATGCAGGAGCTGCCTATACATCTGAAAACATCAGCTGAAAAACTCATGAACCTTTTATTTAGGATTTTTTTTCATATTGCCATAAATATTGTTACTGCAGAAATATCTTGAAATATATGGATATTATTTTAAGGCCATATTAACTACCACAGTCAGTGCTCTCTGGTGGACAAACTATGCAATGGCAACAGTGTTCTAAATCACCTCTAGCATATTTATGTCTTAATTATCAGCCACTTCTGACAGTGTATATCTGTATTATCAGCCAATATACACCCCAACATCTTTATCAGTCTAATTTTAGGGGACTTCTTCTGCCTTAAACCTCTACTTTACTAAACTTCAGAGGGAAATATAATTATGCAATTTTTACTCCACTACATAGCTGAGTAACAAACAGTTAATTTGCAAATCAAGATTTCACACAAAATACGTAAGCAATCAATAAATATGATGAAGTGTTAAACTGAACAACCCAACAGTGTGTTAAATTGTTCAAATCATCCTCCACCAGCTATGTCGATCCAATGAAAATAACAATAATACTATAATTTATGATAATATAGCTACAATAAAATATTAATAATATCAAGCTAGGGTTCACTGTTAATAAGAGGATGAGATGTGAATCAGATCTTCGTTGTTATTTCTGTTTGAATCAATAATGAATAGTAATTAGCGATAGCTTTCATGCAGACGGTAAATGAAGAGTCAGACAGTAGAAACAGTAACATTCACTGCGATCACCTGTCGGTGGTGAAGCTGCTACACTTGGATCCAACTCTTCTGAACTGTCAGGACGCGCTCTAAACACGTTAAAGTTCCCGGTACAGCCGTTAACTTCAGACCGGGAGAAGAGCACGAGGCAGAGCTGATGAATTAACACAATGATCTAACATAACCCAAACATCGTTCATCGATTCATCTGAAACTGTGCTTTTAGAATAAAAACACAGAGGCTGGAAGTTCATACGAACAATAATGTTTGACGAAGGTTAATACTCACAGGGAGAAGCGGAGAGCTGCTGAACCATCCGAGAACAGACAGAGTGAGTCACACACACACACACACACACACTCTCTCTCTCTCTCTCTCTCTCTCTCTCGCTCTCTCGCTCTCTCTCCACCATAAAGTGACTCACACTCTGACATTTCCTGTTCATTAGCGTATTAACACATCTCTAATGAAGTCATATATTTACAGGGCCATGTCTGAAATATGATATTAATATTTGCTTTTCTAATTTGCTTTGAATAACTTCAGTAAATGTAAATGTGATCATTTAACTGTAGTAAATGACCTAATATGGGTAATTTTTTTCCACTATAATAGCGGACAACACATCTGAAAATACTTAAAGTAGAAAATGATAGTAAGGGACTGTACGAAACTAGTTGCGATGAGGAAATGCAAGAAGGGGTGTCATAAGGCCTGTTTCCACCGCAGGAACTTCGGGGTAATTTTACGGGGTGAGGCCGTTGGTGCGTGTCTCCACCGCAGGAACTTTTACGGGGGTTAAACAAGTCCCTGCCTCAGAGTAGGTACTCAGAACGGCCCTGAAAGACTCCTGGCTGGGGCTTGGGGATTACTTGGTGCTGATTGGATATACTCAAGGAGGGATGTGACGTCAACAGAAAGCAACAAAAAACTCAGCAGATGAGGGTTAGCTTGTTCATATAGCTTCTGCCGCCATGTAAAAAAACTAAATGGCCCGTGAAAAAAATATTTTTTCCAGCGGATATCTTAGGTACAACATGATTGAGCTAGCAAAGCAGTTTTGTGTTGATATGTGTGGTATGTATTCAGTTTTGGGAAATCACGATGTCTAGAAAGCATCAGTGGCTGCCGCTGACAGAGACAGCTAACACTAGCAGCAAAGCTAACATCAGGATGTCATCTGTTGAAAGCCTCCCGTTGTCGGATATGACATGAAACTACTCCAGATGGCTCAATCATGTTGTAACTCAGACATCCGCTGGAAAAAATATTTTTTTTCACAGGTCATTTAGTGAGTTATTACAGACCGCTAAGGGCTATCAGCTAACGGCATCCCTACATCGCCCCGGTAAATGGTCATGCAACGATTACGTCACATCCAGAGCCCGTAACTTTACAGGAACCTTCCTTGTACTCTGCTCTCCCAGTGGAGACACGGCGGTTGAGAGGGCCGAGCGAGAGGACGTTCCTGTAGTAGTTCCTGCCCCCCAAATAGTACCAGGAACTTCTTCAGTGGAAACAGGCCTATCCACCTTATTTTTCACGGAAACACGGAAGCAAAACAGAACGCAGCCAGCTTCCGTTTTTTGTGCGACATTTCCGGTCCAGCACTCTTTCCACTGTGTAAATGGGAATCCCCTTGTTGTTTACCTTGCTGAGTTTAGCTATATACAGTACAGGCCAAAAGTTTGGACACACCTTCTCATTCAATGCGTTTTCTTTATTTTTATGACTATTTACATTGTAGATTCTCACTGAAGGCATCAAAACTATGAATGAACACATGTGGAGTTATGTACTTAACAAAAAAAAGTGAAATAACTGAAAACATGTTTTACATTCTAGTTTCTTCAAAATAGCCACCCTTTGCTCTGATTACTGCTTTGCACACTCTTGGC